TTATTAAGTCCTCCCCCAGTTTATTGCCATTAGATCATATCATACACCCTTTGTCCAATCACACTTCTATACTACCATCTACTCCTCCATCAAACTTAGCACAAAGATACATAGGCTTCCCTATTTCTTTGGGTCTTCATTTCTGAAGTCTCTGTGTCACATAAAACTTATATGAAGTACATTTGTATGTTGCTCTTGTCAATCTTTCTTTCTTTCTTTCTTTCTTTCTTTCTTTCTTTCTTTCTTTCTTTCTTTCTTTCTTTCTTTCTTTCGACAGAGTCTCACTCTGTTGCCTGGGCTAGAGTGCCCTGGCATCAGGCTACCTCACGGCAGCCTCAAACTCCTGGGCACAAGTGATCCTCATGCCTCAGCCTCCTGAGTAGCTGGGACTACAGGCATGTGCCACCATGCCCGGCTAATTTTTTCTATATATTTTTAGTTGGCCAGTTACTTTCTCTCTATTTTTAGTAGAGATGGGGGTCTTGCTCTTGCTCAGGCTGGTTTTCGAACTCCTAACCTTGAGTGATCCTCTTGCCTCGGCCTCCCAGAGTGCTAGGATTACAGGCGTGAGCCACCGCGCCCGGCCTCAATCTGTCTTTTGTTAGAGGTGCCTCAGCTCTGAACCTAGCGATGAAGGAAACCCGGTTTCTCCAGTCTGTGGCCCCTGGCCAGGATGCAGCCCCCGGCCTAACTGCCTCTGCTGTTGGGAAGCAGACTGTTCCTGTCTTTCCACGGACTAGCAGGCAGCTCTTCATGCATTAAGGAAGCAGTGACAGCCCCAGAACATCTCCATATGATGGTTGTAGGGGTGGGGGGCAGGCTGCAGGCTGCGCTGGCACTGACCTCATATAGGATTGAGGAGACAACGGCTGTGGGTGCTGAAGAGCAGGCAGGGGCGGGGAGGAGAGCTGGGAGTGGGGAGGGGGAGGCCAAAGCCTCTCCAAGCCACCCCTAGATGGGTATGAGAAGGGGAGAAGAGGCCAGCCAATTGCTGGATTAAAAGGGGATAGGGCAGGGACCCCAGCAGCTCTGGGGGAGCCTCCCAGGCATGAGCTTCCCCTCACTGGACAGGGTGTGTTTCTCCACTGTTCCTTCTGGAGCGGCTCATCCAACTGCCTTATACGGGAAGGGGAACGGAGGAGAGAAAGGCGCAGCGTGTGTTTAATCCACCCTTCAGTTGTGGTAGCCTCTGTGTTTGTTGATGCAGCTGCCTCTTTCCTGAGATCTGTGAAAGGATTTTTTTTTTTAAAAGGTAAGATCACGACTTTTATACAAATGTAAAATACACACGTCAAAGATTTTATTTAAGTCATTAATTAATGAGGGAACCAGTAAGATGTCACAGCCAGTCCAAAGGAGAATTAAAAATATCATGTATATTAATAGAAAGGCAAGTAGGAACGCTGACATGAATTTATAAATAGACGCAAAATTGATGATAGACACTGGACAGTTTGCCTGCCTATGGACAAGGACGGTCTGCATTCCCATGGGTATCCTACGACTTACAGAGTTGTCAAAGAGCTCCAAGACCATGACGGGCTCTTCTAGTGAAGTCTTTCCTTGTAACGTCTTTCACGGATCCACGGTGCAGTGTCTGGCTGGGGCGCGTAGGGGCAGAAGGGAGCCAGGACATTTACTTCAGTGGAAGGAGAGAGCCATGTCAGGAGACAGGCTGAAGACAATCCGGGACAGATCAACGAGCTGGATGCTGGTCTGCATGTGAGGAAGAAGTAGGAGGTGCGAGAGAGAGGGAAAGGGAATAGATAATTGAAATTTAAAAAGGAGTTCAGAGGAAGCCTAGACGAGATGAGAGAAGAGCTCTATTTGCCTGTTCACTCTTCAGTTCATTTCCTCCTTCATCCACTGAACAACGGGTCTGGCACTGTGCTGGCTCCTGGAGTAAAAAGACTGAATCAGAGGCCCTGGATCCTTATCTCTTGCATCCTAGTGGTGAAAACACAGTGCACAGTAGGCTGAGTAATGCCCCAGCCCCTCAGTCGTCCATGTCCTCATCCCTGGAATCACCGTAGCTGGCAGAAGGGACTTTGCAGATGTGATTAAGTTAAGGATCTTGAGATGGAGAGATCATTCTGCATTGGCCTGATGTAATCACAGGGCTCCTGGTAAAAAGGAGGCAGGTGACTGTTGTAGAAGGCAGGTGATTATCGTAGAAGGCAGGTGATTGGTGTAGAAGGCAGGTGACTGTTGTAGAAGGCAGGTGATTATCGTAGAAGGCAGGTGATTGGTGTAGAAGACAGGTGATTGTTGTAGGAGAAGGCAGGTGATTGTTATAGAAGGCAGGTGATTGTTGTAGAAGGCAGGTGATTGTTGTAGAAGGCAGGTGATTGTTGTAGAAGGCAGGTGATTGGTGTAGGAGAAGGCAGGTGATTGGTGTAGAAGGCAGGTGATTGTTGTAGAAAGCAGGTGATTGGTACAGGAGAAGGCAGGTGATTGGTACAGGAGAAGGCAGGTGATTGGTGTAGGAGAAGGCAGGTGAGTGGTGTAGAAGGCAGGTGATTGGTGTAGAAGGCAGGTGAGTGGTGTAGAAGGCAGGTGATTGGTGTAGAAGGCAGGTGATTGGTGTAGAAGGCAGGTGATTGGTGTAGAAGGCAGGTGATTGGTGTAGAAGGCAGGTGATTGGTGTAGAAGGCAATGTGACAACCGAAGCAAAGACTGGTGTGATGTGGCTACAAGCCAAGGCATGCTGGCAGCTCTAGCAGCTGAAAGAAGCACAGAACAGATTCTCCTCTGGAGCTTCCAGAAGGAACTAATTCTGCTGACACCTTGATTTCAGCTGTGTAAGACCCATTTCAGACTTCTGACCTGTAAGGGAGTAAATCTGTGTTGTTGGAAGCCACTGAATCTGTGGTAGTTTGTCACAGCAGCCATAGGAAACTAATATACACTCAGAACAATTGAAATGCAGCAGGGGTGCAATGTAGAGTATTTTCATGGGGGAAACTGAGGCAGTCGGGAGCCAATGAGAGGTGCCCTGGAGGAAAAGGTTTCCTGCTGAGACCTGAGGGCTTTGGAGGAGGTGGCCTACAGAGTGGTGGCCATTGGCAGGGGGTGGTTTCACAGTGCATACCAGAGGAGGGTCAGGAAGCAATGCTTTCTTATTATCCCTTGGGGGCAGATGGAGGCCAGAGGCAGAGGCATTAATGTATGGCTGTGATGGTCTTTGGGAAGAGGAACAGGCCTAACTCCAAGAAGACAACATGCAAATGCAAAGGAGATGAAGTCCTAACCCTTTTGGAGGCATCTGCAGGAAGATGGGTGCTATATAAATCCAAGGTGATATTTTTAGATAAAAAGTTTGAAAACATTGGTCAGCTTGGATGAGTGGCACCATGGAACTAGTTGGTGGTTTTCCTGTGAAAACAGCCTCAAACTCCCTTCTCTTGGTGTTCTTAGAAGATGTGAATCCTGTTGAAGTCTGTTTTTAACTGGGTGAAAACTTACCACTGCATTGATGCTGAGTTTCGCCTATAACTCCGTTTAAAAACCTCTGAAGTGTCTTGATCATCTGTGACCTTCTTAAAGGTCACAAAATTAGAAGCTTAGTAGCCACATGCCAACTGAACACAGCATTTGAAATCTTTGACATGGATCCCTCCAGAAGTCATGATCAACCACGTAGTGTTTCTTGTGACACTGTGGCCTGCACGCACACTTGCTGGCTTGTGGACATGCATCTTTTCGTCCAGCCGTCTGAGGTGCTTGGTTCTTGGTGCTTTTTGATTGTATTTTGTTTGCATTTTAGTGCTCATTAGTCTTCTGTGGCCAATATTTGTGAGCCAAACTATTTGGCAGAAGCCTTTGGTGCTGTGGCCAATACAAAGCAGTGGAATCAGCATGTTTTCAAAACCCTCTTGTCTTATGTGCATCTCCTCTTCCTGCCCACATATCTGCCCTGCGACAGTCCTCACGGCTGCTGCACACACAAAAACCAGCCCATCCCGCAAGCACCCCCTTCTCCCTTCTGGGCATGGTCCCGCGTGGGACTATGCGTCTTCCCCGGTGGTTCATGGACTCTACTCAAATTTCCATTTCTTATCAACATAGCATTTGCATCACTGGTTCTATTGGAGGATGCTCTGAAAGGCTATGTCCAGTCTCACAGTGAGGGATCCACACTGAGATCCCCATGGAGGTGAATTAGGGGTGATTTGTAACCCAAGAAAGTGGAAAAGTGCAGAATTGAGGGATACCGGCCAACAGGAAAGACCCACACTCTTGGTGACCCTCTGCCCAAAGGGCCATGCATGGCAGAAAGAGTTCCCCTTATCTGTGTTGTGGGAAGTGTGCTCTGAACCTTCTGCTAGACCTTAACTCTCCTCTCTTCTGGTACCAATGCCGTGTCCTGCAATATTCACTGAGTGCTCACACGTGTCCTGTCTGTGTCGCTTGCTCATGCAACCTGCTGAAATCAAGTGTGTTCTGCCTGCAGCCTGGGTTCTTCTCCTTCCTCGTCTGTCTGAGTGTGTTGCTGGTCACTTAGCGGTCAGCCCCCATGGGGATGCCGATATTCCTTAGAAATGTGGCAACTGAAATAATCTCCTGAAATCAGTAGACACAACATTTCTCCCTCTGTTTGCCAGGCATGTTTGCCATGCATCTAGGCAATTATGCTTTCCTCTCCAAGAATAGGAAGGTGGAATAGATTTTCCACCTGTTGTTTCTCCCTCCATGGATGGTGATGAGGCATCAGGAACGGGTGTCTGGCTTTCTGCAGGCATCTGTGTTCTGCTCGACACGGAAGAAGGTTTGCTCATGGCAGCCGGTGTTAAGACAGGTCTCTTTCCATGCAGGGTAACTTTAAGTGAAGCTTGTTGGAAATAGGCCATGCTTCGTAACCTGGATTTGTTGGAGCCCTGATTTAGAAATGATTTCTTGGCAACTCTATTTCTCTTGAGCATGTGTACTGTGGTTAAGAAGGCACAGGGAATTTAGAGCCCAGAAGACTTAAAACGTTCCATAGAACCAGCACTATTGTCTCATAAGTAAGGGACATTCTTGGGGATTCAAGAAAGAAAGTGAGTTCCCTAAGGTCAAGGGCTCAGCTCTGGGGCCCACAGTAATCAGATGACCCAAATTGAGGGTGCAAGTCAGGAAACAGAATCCAGGAGGGGTCGGCTGACAGCGTCAATCTCTGGCCTCAAAGAGCCCTTTCCTGACTCTGCTGCCTTTTTCCAGAAGGTCTGTCTGGCTGTGGTTTTGCAAAGCCACGTAGTCGCAGGAGGAGCCTGGGTGCTGGGAGCTGCGGGCTGGAAGGGAGGTGGGAGACGCTGCCTCTCCAAGGCCCCGTCCACGTGCTCCACTTCCAGACAGGAGCAGCCAGGGCTTGGGTAGGCTGCAAATAATGGAAAACCCAAATAGCAGGGGTTAAAAGAAATGGGATCCTAAAGAAGTCTGAAAGTCGGAAGTCCAGGGCAGGGTCAGAGGTTCCAGGATGCTGGGGCTGGGGCCTGGATGGCTTCTTTGGCCTTCTCCTCAGGGTCACTCAGAAGGTGGCGGATGTAGGTGAGGTGGCCTGGGGCCGGGGAGGCTGTGGGCGGTGAGGCTGGTGCTCCCTCTTGCTGGTGCGGGAGTGGTTTCCCGGAGGGTCTTCTCCTTACCTGGTGGGTGTGTTGCACATGTGCCCACTGCCACAGGGCCACACTGGAATTCCCAGATGAGAAGGGGCAGTCCCAGGGCTTGTGGGACCCTCGGTGGGACTCCCGTGAGCTCCTCAGTCATCCAGGTCGAAAAGTCTAATACTGTCCCTTTCAACGTGGTCACACCTGGTGCTCTGTTAAATACCTAAATGCACCCAGGGCCAAGCCCCTGACCTTATGGAGCTCATTTTCTTTGCAGACAACACAGATGTTGAGATGGAGCAGGAAGTAGTGGTTACATGGGAGGGCCCAGAACTCCCGACCCTCAGGAGTTTGTCATGGGAAAAGACAGTGGGACGTTCCCCAGTCCCCTTCTTTCTTTACTGCTTTTGTTTGCTTTGCTTTCAAATCCTTGACTCCCTGTCTTCCCTCCCACCGCTTCCTCGAGCTCTTGGGCGAAGGCCAGGCCGAGGCACTGCACACTCCTGCCCAGCCCTCTGCCTCCCCGGGTGGCTAAGGAGAGCCCACAGCCATTCCACAGCCATGCGTCTTAGGGCGGGCGTAAATCTCAGACCCAGAAGCCAGGCGTGCAGAAAATGCATTTTTGTAACATAATCTAATTTCCATGGTTCCCATTCTGCACGAGTAGAGGAAAATGATCCTCAGTCAGCTGAGGTCCCTGATGTGTCAGTTGCTGATGCTGGGCTGGCCACCTGGTCCTGGGTGTAGCTGGCATCACTCCGCTCGGGGCCTGGGAGGTGCTTTCCTTCCTTTCCTTCCAGGCCCTGCTGGTAGCTGCTGTCATTGCTTGTTCTCACCCCACTAACCAGCTCTGCTCCAGGCCTACTCTCTCTGGACCACGAGTCACCCACTTGCAGCTCCAGGCAAGCTCCTGGGAGCTCCCACCTGTCCTGGAGGAACCCATGTGAAACTGGGTCTAGCTTATTGGTTCTGAATCGCCAAATAGGTATTGCTCTGCCTGACTCTCCTGGGGAACTTTAGGGTTTTGCTCCCACCCTGGCCTTTGCCTTGAGACCTGAGGGTTCCCTTTTGCTCACTGATCTTGAAACTGCACAAAGTGGGGATGGGACACACCTCAGGGCACAGGCCCTTCCTGGGCCCTGCAGCCTCTGCACAACCCCACCCAGGAGACCTCTGTTGCTGAGGACAAAGACTTGACTTGAAGGGCCACATGTTCCTCCTGAGACCTGTCTTCCCCATGGCCTACACTTTGCACCCAAAGGTAAAGGTGAAGGAATCCATTTCCTCTGCTCTCTGCTTAGTCACCTTTGGCTGAAGCAGGGAAAAGGGAATCACCATGTTATATGACCCAGGAGAGGACCTGGGGTGGGGGGAGAGAGAAGAACCCAGTCAATATCTCAAGAAATCCCACCATGTCTCCTTAAGGAGAAGAAAAGAGAAAGAAGGACAAAGAGAGATTTTTCCCTTTTACTATGACGCAGATTACATTTTAGATCAGTTCTTTTTCTATATTTAGTCCTTTATGTGGCAGCCAATTCCAAAATATATTAACAAAAAATAAACTCACCTTTCAATGCTCTTCGGGTTTCTTTGAAATGATCAGAAGTTATGAAACTTAATTACATTAGTTTATTTAACTTTTTTTTTTAACATTTACAGTTGTTTGCTAGCCTATCAAGGAGTTTTTAAAACTTTTTAGGTGCATAAACACCCTGTTTCTGAAACCACTGTATTTTACACTTTCACTTCCCACATACACCAGCTCAGTGACAAGAAACCACCTGAAACAATGTGCAAAATCAAGGTTCTCAGAAACAGGCCCAGGAACTGTCGTTCCACAGTGTCTCTGGCTGCTCTTTCTGCCTGAGTGTCCTCGGCCGGTGTCCCTTGGCCCCACCTCCCCGGAGTCCTGGCCTTTCTGCAGGGACCCGCTCTGGCCCAGTGTCCCGGCGTTGCCTGGCAGCCTCTGCATGCTGGAGTGGGGCGAGCAGCTCTCTCACCTGTGTCCCGTCCTCTATTAGGGCCTCTCTCCCCCTGGACTTGGACCTGAACCTCCCTCCTATGTATTGTTGGAATCCACTGTTTACATCCCCCCCAGACGTTGTTTCCTAAATTTTCACCCCGTAGAATCTGAAAATCTTCCCTTAACCGCTTATCTGCTTACCTGTTGTAAAAGGTGTTATCCCAGGCTGCAGTGGCAGGTTCTTTAGGTCCTGGACATCTGGACTCGCACTGGCCATATGCTTGGTGGAATATTATGGGTTACAACTGTAATAACAGATGGGGACACAGCCGTGGGTTTTCCCCACTGAGAGGCGAGTGCTTCATTCCTGGGCCACACGCTACTTGTTTCTCTACCCCTAGGGCCAGTGAGGTGCTGGGCACAGAATGCTTTGGATTGAACCGTGTATCTCCAAAATCTATATGTTGAAGTCTTAACCTCTAGTACCTCGGAATGTGACATTATTTGGAGGCAGGGCCTTTATAGAGATACTCAAGTTAAAAAAGGTCTTTAGGGTGGGCCCTAATTCAATATGACTGGTATCCTTATAAAAAGGGGGATTTGGAAACGGGTATGCAGAGAGAAGGAACGTCATGTGAAGGTGAAGGCAGAGATGAGGGTGGTGCATCTATAATAAGCCAAGAAGTGCCAAAGGGCGCCCGCAACCTGCCAGGAGGTGGGAAAGAGGCATAAGCAGATTCTCCTTAAAAGCCTTTATTAGGACTTAACCCAGCTCTGATACCTTGATCTCTTATTTCTGGCCTCGAGAACAGTGAGACAATAAATTTCTATCGTTTAAGTCACTCAGCTATGGCAGTGGCAAACTAACGAACTAACACAAGAATGTATGTTCTGAGTAAACATTAATCAAGTGACCAAAGCAATGGATGGACCTTTCCCGTGGTGGACATCCACTGGGTAGCGTCTCCTGCCAGCTGATAGACCAATCCTTGACACTGGGAGAGCCATGTCCCTTGGCAACTGGTTGCATTATGTGGTATGGATGTTATCTGGTATTCTAGAAGCTTGGTGACAATTAGTAGGGGCAAAATGGGGGGTAACTGGGAGGAGATGTCTAGGAGAAGTCTTGGATTTAAAAGTCTCCTAGACTTAGAAGTCTAGGAGAGTCTTGGATTTAAAAAAAAAATAGGTGGAAGGAACAAATAAGAAATCCTCTTCACAGTCTGTGATGTGTGAACATGAAGTTACTTTTAAACCTTTTATTCTTTTAGGGAAGATGTTTGATCTCTCAGGATAAATTAATTAAGTATCATGCACTTCAGGGCCCGAGTTAGGTGACCAGAGTTCCCCCACTCTGGCCATCTGGCTTTGTTCTGAGCCTCCAAGTTTCAATAGTGGCAGTTGTGGGGCAGGAGAGGGGTGGGCTGGGGCTCTTGTGTGCATGGCTGCAGACCAAGGCGGAGTCTCACACCCAAGCCTTGATCCTTCATGCCCTTTAGCTGTTGTTCATCCCACTTTTCCTTCCTGTGCCCAGATCCAGGAAACGAATGGCTGTCGGAGAAGCCCGTATTATCTGATTTTATTTGTGCCTCTTGTCAAGTAATACAATCAATGATAGTATCTGTGTAAACCTTTTATGTTTGAGAGGTGTCAGGAGCTGCACTGTGTCCTCCCAAAAGATGCTGAATTCCTTACCCCCATATCCATAAATGTGACCTTCTTTGGAAATAGTCTTTGCAGATGATCAAGTTAGGATGAGGTCGTTAGGCTGGGCCCCAATCCAATATGACTGGTGTCCTTATGAAAAGAGACAATCTGGACACAGAGAGGGCTGCGCACAGGGAGGTGCATGTGCAGATGAAGGCAGAGATCTGACTGATGCACCCACAAGCCAGGGGACACCAAAGATCACCGGGACACCACCAGGAGCCAGACGAGAAGCAGGGAACAGATTCTCCCTCACACCTCAGAAGGAACCAACCCTGCTGACACCTTGTTTTAGGACTTCCGGCCTGCAGACTGTGCAACAATACATTCTTTTTGTCTAAGCAACCCAGTCCATGGTAGTTCGTTTTGGCCCTAGCAAACTCACATAAGAGGCAACCGGAAAGTTCCATATCTAGAACAGAAGGTCGTTTGGAGCAGAGAAGGCCAGTGGGCCCTTTCACATCTGTGAGCATCTCACATTTAAAGACTTGATTCTAGGTTGTCTGAGGACACTTGCAAGTGCCCGTGAGAGCCACCTGAGTCATGAATCTCTTCAAGTCTCGTGAAGTAATTGTTTTTAATTGCAGTTTTTTTTTTTATGGTCTCCTTGCCTCCTCTTTTTGTTTCCTTGGCATGTCCCTCCTTCTTCCTGGCAAGCAGACAGCCTGCTATTTGGGATGAGAGCAAGCTCCTGATGCCAGGCGGCCAGGAGTCTTCGCTGTCTCGGGGTCGGGAGGCGTGGAGCGTGCTCACAGGCGCTCTGACTCCTCAGAGATGAAGGTGGAGACAGACATCTTTCTGGCTCTATTTTCAGCTTGCCCTGTGGGGCCCCGAGGCCCTGGTGACAGATGAAGGGGAAGCACAGAGCCAAAGGAGGTTTCACTTTTCCACTCCCAAAGGGCTGGCCCTTGGGGACTGAGCAGAGCGAGCTGTGAATGCTGGCTTTTAAATCTGGCCACTCAAGATTGGCTCACTGAATCAGAGAAGGAGCAAACCACCTGTACCTAAAAGAAACAGGGTGTTTCCCAGCCAGGCTGAATGATTTTAGAAATGCAAATCTAATATGCATTCTCATTAGCCCACGGAATTCAGCTTTATGCCCATTAGGCGCCGCAGTGGGCTGCCTGCCTTCCCCTCACTCTTGGGGAGCTCATGGTATGTGCCGGAATCTCACAGATATATGACCACAGAGACCCTGCGACGACACCCTTCAGTGAGATGATCACAATTCCACACTATCGTGACTTACATTAACATATATGAACTCTTCACGTACTTCTATGAAGTGAATGAGTTTGCATTACCTTTTCTAGCTTATTGCCTGAGTATTTTTTTTTTGGTGGGTAAGTTTAGTTGTGTCTTTCCAAACCTGTTTGGGAAGTTTTCAGGAACTACTCTTTGTAAGCACTGGGCTGGATCCCAGGGAGGATAATTACGTGTGGGCCATGGTACCTGGCCTCAGGTGTCCAATCTCGTGAAGGAGATGTGTCATATACAGAATGATCAAATACAGCGTGAGGCTAAGCGTCCTACATAGGTTAGGGAGGGTGGAGGTCAGAGGGGCTGGTGCCCAGAGGACGGCCCCGCTGCCTCAGGCGTGCATGTCTGTGGGGGTCTCCAGTGGTGGGGAAAGCTTGTCTAGGCCCCTCCAGATCTGGGCAGGTGAGGAGACTTGAGGAAGGAGCGGGGCATTCTGGGTGTGGAGATGCCATAAGCAAAGTGTGAGGGTTTGTGTGTTGGGTTCACTGGGCCATGTGGAGTGGCTGTCTCCTGCTGTGCATGATGGGAAGTGAGACTGGGGACATACACAGACAGCTGACTTCTGCCCTGAGGTAGACAAACAGGTTTCAACTTTGACTTCTGGGCTAGGCAGTGAGAAGCCTACAAGGTGTCTGAGCCTGGAGATGACATCATAGAGCCACCTTTAAGGAATATTGATTGGGAGGCAGAGTACACTGAGCCCAGAGACAGCGGAGGGAAGGGAGAAATGCACAAAGGAAGGACGCGCAAGATTCTGGGGCACACAGGCCTGAAGGAAGAGGGGGTGAAGGGAGAACCAACCAGGGCTTCTGCATTCTTGACCGAACTTGACATGGATGACATTAGAACGTACTGAGTTTGAGGCCTGCAGGTGCTCGTTCTTTTTCAATAAGTTATGGTTTTTAAAATTTAATTTAATTTCAAAATATTAAGTGGGTACAAATGTTTTTGTTACACGGCATATTGTATAATGCTGAAGTCAGAGCTTTAGTATGCCCCGTACCAGAATAATGTTCATTGTACCTGATAGTTAAGCTTTTATGCCTCACCCTCTTCCCAGCCTCCCCTCTTGGATTCCAAAGTCCTTTACATCTCTTTGTTCCCACGTGTGCCCATAATTTAGCTCTGAATTATTAATGAGAACATGTGGTGTTTATTTTTTCATTCCAGAGATGCTGCATGTAGGATAATGGTCTCTAGTGCCATCCAAGTTGGTGCAAAAGACATTATTTCATTCCTTTTTATGGAGGAGCATATATATATATGTGTATATATATGTACATATATATGTATATATGTATACATATATATGTATGTGTATATATACTCCAGTATATATACTCCATGGTATATATATACCACATTTTCTTTATCCACTCACCAATTGATGGACACTTAGGTTGATTCCACATCTTTGCAATTGTGAATTGTGCTGCAATAAACGTTCTAGTGCAGCTGTCTTTTTGATAAAATGACTTCTTTTCCTTAGGATTATTTTTTTAAATTTTTGTTTGAAAATTTTTATTTTGATTATTAGGGGTACATATAAGTTGTCTATATTTATGGGGTACGTGTGCTATTTGGATACAGGCATCCAGTCCGTAATAATTAAATCAGGGAGATTGGGGTATCCATCCCCTCAAGCATTTATCAAGGATTTCTTTGTGTTGAGAACATTCCAATTCCACTCTTTCAGTTATTTTTAAATATACAATAAGTTATTGTTGACTATAGTCACCCTGTTGTGCTGTCAAATATTAGATCTTGTTCATTCTAACTATATTTTTGTCCCTGTTAACCATCCCCACTGTATCCCCCTTTCCCTGCTACCCTTCTCAGCTTCTGGTAACCATCATTCTACTCTCTGTCTCCATGAGATCAATTGTTTTAATTTCTAGCTCCCACATATGAGTGAGAACATTGGAAATTTGTCTTTCTGTGCTTGGCTTGTTTTACTTAACATAATGTTCTCCAGTTCCAAGCAATGATATTTTAAAAATCATCTCCTGGTTGTTAATGAACAGAGGTGAATTCCATGCACAGCAAGGACTGTTTTGTTTATTTGTACTTGTTGAATAGTAAACAGCATTAAAGGCCATTTTTGAAGAAACCTAAACTTCCTTTTCCATTTTTCAGTATGAACATTTTCTTTAGCACATAGGGGCACCATCGAAGGCTGTTTTCTTAAGCCTCCCCGACAGAGCAGATGTGACCCCGGGGAGCGTGGGAACCTCTCTCTGGCAGAGGGAACCTCTCCTGCTATTCCCATAGGAAAGAGATGTAAATTCGGGGAGAGTTTTGCCCTCCCTTCGTTTCTGTGGTCCGTGGGTAACAATCTCCTCAAGCGAATTTCAAATTCTCTTTCCAATGAGCTGCAAAAGTACTTAAACCATTTATTTGCTCTGGTCCTGAAATGAAAGTTACTCAGTCAACTCCCCAAGTGTCCCAAACCAGGAGAAGTCCAAGGTAAGATGACATGTTTAAAAGTTGCCATAAACGCTGGCAACTGGACATGAAGATAAATCTGAGCCATTTCACGTGGTCAGTCGGGTCGGTCGTAAAAGACACGAGCTTAAAATATATTTCTCCTTGCCTTTCATGGCTATAAAGATTAATAAATTTTGTGAAATTTCAAGATAAAGTATGAGACATTTTGAATTTTATGTGAATGACTTGCATGGTGACAGTAACCATGTCCTGGCCCTTGTGGAGCAGGAGGTAATTTACTGTTGATGGTTTCTTGGCATGATATATATATGTGTTTGGGGAATCATATTTTAAAATCGCCCAGCACATGGTCTCTGATAAGGTGCATAACTCAGGTACTCAGAGTTTTTTTTTATGGGAAAGAAGATGCGCACATATTGTGCAGTTACGATCGGGGCACGTTGCTCCTCCCTGGGGAATTCCAAGGGCTGGAGCCCTGGCCTCCTGTGGGGAGTCATAACGTGTGCCTGTGAAAAATAGATCCTGGACTTGAGCTCAGGGCCAGAGTGCTCTGAAATTCAGGGCTCTCCCAGGACTCAGTGCACATTTGTTTCTGTCCAGGCCAGTGACCCCCTGAAGCTGCGGAGGCTGGCAGGGTAGGGGAGGGGTGGCCCCTTTCCTGGAAGAGGGGAGCTGTGAAATGTGGCTATCACTGATGCCAGCGGGCACCTCTCTGCCCGCAACCTCTAACCATGTGTGCAGGCTTGCATGGAGATTCGCCATCACAGCCAAATTCTGCTTAACGCGGAGGCCTGTGTCCTTTTGTGCAGGACACTCACCGTCCTCTTGAACAGGAGGAAGGGGCAGTGATCAGACCCAAACACTCTGGTTTGCTACCCACTGGTTCTCATGCTCTGCCTATGTGCTTGTGTGCGTGCGTGCATATGTGTGTGTGTGTGCATGTGTGTGGGTGCATGTGTGTGTGTGTGTGCGCGTGCATGTGTGTGGGTGCGTGTGTGTGTGTGTGTGTTGGGGGGCTGCTAGTGTGCTCTCATGCTGGTTACTCTGCCTCCGTCTTGCAACAACCTTCTTCTCAGGTGCAGGGGCTGGTGAGCCTTGAAGCTGCCGGATGCAGCATAGGACAGGGGAGAAGGGCCTGGAAGCTTCTGCAGCCTTCATGCGGCAGATACTCATCCAGCCACTCCTGGGTGCCAGGCCAGGTGCCAGGAGCTGTGGGGTGGAGGGGGACAGAGAGTGAGCCTGCAGCTTGGGGACCTCACCTCTCCGAGGAGGAAAATATTATTCACTTAGCTATTTAATGTTAAGTGTTGTTTAATTACAGTGACAAAGTGTTTCTTTTATTGGTCAGGACGGACTGTTTGACTGCAGTGACAAATTTCCCCAGAATCTCCGTGGCTTAACAGCAAGGTTGGTTGGTTGGGAGTGCTGTCTGTCTATGGGGGTCTCTGCTCCACACGGTCACTCGGGATCCAAGGCTGATAGGCTCTTTCCTTCTTTAGGCTGCACATTCTGGGCACGTGGCCCCCTTGGCCTCGTAGTGGGGAAGAGAGACAGGAGACTCCCTCATGGGCCTCTCTGCCTGTGTCACCGCCACTTGTACTTCATCAGCCAGAACTAATCACCATGGCCTGGGCTTACTGCAAGGGAGCCAGGAAATGCAGGGGAGCCAGTTGGAATATGTGGCGATCAAACAAAGCACCAGGTGAGCATTTATCTTTCTGTCGCAAGCCAGAATTCAAGGCAGAGGAGACCCAGCCAGCCGGCATCCAGAGAGCATGTGAAAAGGAGTCGTAGCTGTTCACATCCAGGGAAATTGCTCTTTTACTGAGGTGCTAGTTTCCCACAGCCTGGAGAAAAAGCCTGGGACTCAAGTAAAGACCCCCAAGGCTATTTCTCCTGCTCCTACTTCTTTTTTTGTCAGCTCACAATATTTAGTAACGGTTTAATTTGCTTAAGATTATGTGTAATTTCCCCCATGCCAAAGCCACATCTGGCGGGGCCAAGCAGGCCTCTGTGCCAGGGTCTCCCTGGGCCCCGTCCTTCCTTTCCCAGACGCGGCACTGCCTGGCAAGGGCCTGTGCTCTGCGCTTCCCATTGTGCTATGCGGCCCCCAAATGGCCCCAGGTGTCCCCACACCTCCCTTATTCCTGTCTCCAGGCCGATCTGTCTAACTAGTAGAAAAGACTGAGGGTGATTTCCAAAGGTGTGTCATCCGCATGCTCTATCGCAGGGGATTTGCTCTGGGAGAAGCTGGCTGTGCTTTCGTGAGGACACTCCAGCGGCACCGTCCCTCCAGCCCAGAGAGGTCCCCACATGAAGAAGCAATGCCTCCTGCCGACAGTCAGCACTAGCCGTGCTGGAAGTAGATCCTCCCGCCCGAGTCAAGCCTTCCTGTGACTGTAGCCCCTGCCGACATCTGCCTGCGATTTCAGGACAGACCCTGAGCCAGAGATACCTAGCTAAGCCGCTCCCAAATTCCTGACTCACTGAAGAGAGGATAAATGTCTGTTGTTGTTGATGTCTCCAAGTTCTGGGTTCCTTTGTTGCACAGACAGCCATGGATAGCACAGGCGCCCAGAAGTCATCAGAATCCTTCTATTTCTTTATGCCAGTCCTCCATGGCACGTTCCACATTCTCCAATACAATAAACTGTTTTAGTCTTTGTGTTTCCACGGTGTGTGGCTTTCCCTTTATTTCTAACTGTATTAAGTTGTCTTGGTCTGGCTCACCCTGGTAACCCTCATATTCTGTGGCATTGTTCGATAATAATAGTAAACATTTAGGTAGCTTTTAATTCATGCCAGGCAGAGCGCTAAGAGCTTTACATATTTAATCTTCACACAACCCTATGAGACAGGTACTGTTATTAGCCTGTTTTACATCTAAGGAAACTGAGGCACAGAGAAGTTAAGTAACATATCCAAAGTTGCACAGCGAGTGAGTAGCAGAACCAGGATTTGTGAACTTCAGCAGTCAGACTGTGAAGCCCCTTTCTTGGGAAAGTTATGAAAAGATGTCAGGCAGGCCACAGGGCCAAGGGACTGGGAAAAAAAATTTTCATAAGAAGAAAAGTAAATCAGGTAAAGACAGGAAAGGATAAGTGGGCAAGGCTAGAATCCCAGAGAAATGAAGAGACCTCATCTTGCCTGCTGGGATAGTTTCTCCAAATTCTAGATTAGAAGCTTGGTTTCATCCCTTGGTTAGGGATGAAATCTACAGGAAATGCAGACAAGAGGTGGATCTTGTGGACTGTGAAGTCAAGGAGGTCTGTAATAAAATAGAAATGGCCCAAAGGAAACCTTTCACCATCCTTTTTGGTTCCACCTACGTCTGGCCACAAAAGCTCTTGGGTGGGTCATCCTAGCCTACAGCTGCCTTAGGGCTCTTTCAAACTCCTTGTGCCTGTGCAATTGTGGAGAACAGACACAGTGGGCACAGGACGTGCCGTGATGCTGGCTGAGCTGCAGGACGTGCGTTTTGACCACGTGCCTGGAGCAGGAGGCAGCAGAGAGCACCAGCAGGCAGCGGGAACTCCCGAGGAGGCCAGACGCGCAACCACGGCAAGGCAAGGTCTGAGACAGCCAACGGTTTGCAGAGTCTGGGTTATCCTGGGTTTGGTCCAGCCTCTTGAAAGACAGTCACTTCTTAAAATATTTCAGAGGACATGCTAGCAATGTGTAAGAGGAAGCATAATTGTCATCCCAGGCTAGGAAGTGTGCTTGTGGGTGGGAGATCAACTTTAGGGTGGACGGAAAGCTTGTGCAAGGAAAGGAGTTTGTTTGAACTGCAGACTCGACCAGCAAGAGTGGCCGCCTGCTCCATGGAAACACGCACAGGTGTCACCCCTGCTGCGTATCTGTCACCTATGGAATAAAGCACTCATTTGGAGCTCTCACTTTCTAAGCCATTACTAGCAACAAGGGTTGGCTTTGTGAAGAGCTGGATACATCTTGATGGTGGGGTGAAGGAGGGGGACCATCCAACTTACTTGCGACGTTGGATGGACAGAAGAGAAGGGCTTATTTCCAGGCTGAGAGGGGAGCAGATGCCAACAGGACACACCGATGAGGGCTCCTCCCCTGTGCAGTGGCTCTGGCAGCTGCCCCAGCTGCGAGCTGCCTCCACGGGGCCGGGCCCTCAGCTTTCAGGTCGCAACTCTTCAGCAGTGTGTCATCGGCTCAGATCACTTGAGTTTCACAAAGGCCAGTTTACTTTATGAGGGTGCTGTCTACGTGGAGATGGAGAATCGTGTATGTGCAAGGTGCATTCCTGACCTCACTCTTTTGCTGCCATCAGAACAGCTTGTCCCACATTGGGCTAGGAGGCAATGCTGTGTGCTCCCATGGGGCAGCTTGGGCGGAAGAGCTGCAGGAAGCCCTTCCTTGAGTTTTCTTTAAGGATGCTGCTCAGGGTTCATCTTCCATCGGAGGACTGAATGGGGAGTCAGTGCTGAGCTGTTCTTGTTTGGCAAGAGCTGTTTCTTCCAGAGAACTCTTTGTGTCTGATGGATGATCTATGATATGCCTAGGCTACCTTCTTCACGATGGCTGCTGGGGTGCTCAGAGCTGGAGTGTGGCCTGGCCCAGCCAGTGTCTGAGGCATGCATGCTGACATCTAAGTGGCTTTATTTTATTTTATTTTTGTCATTTATTTGTCATTTATTCCTCCTTTGTCATTTATTCTATTGTCTGTATTCTGATAAGCTAACTTTAATTCATTTTGCTGGGTATAAGCCGAGAAGTAGATAAATATTTGTGATTTAGAGTGTAGTGATTGTAGAGTCTATCCTGGGGAGAGATAGTATCCCTTGTTAGTTGCCCACCGAGGTATGGGAAACAGAAACAGATTCAACCCCTCTCTCCCTGGCTAGAAGTATGTAGCCTTTGACGGATGGATTCGCTGACTCACTGATTTGCTCTGTGGATACTTATTATGTGCCAGGCCCTGTTCTAGGCCTGGGGAAGGCGATGGTGACCACAGAGCAGCATTCCAGGAGCAGGAAATAGGCAAAGACAGTGACACTGATTGCAAACAGAGACCGCTGCCTTGAAGGGGCAAGCAGCAGGGAGTGGGGACGAGGGAGTGTCTCAGTCAGCTCAGGCTGCCGTAGCACAATGCCACGGCCTGGGCGGCTTGAGCGATAGTCCTGGAGGCTGGAAGTCTGAGGCCGGGGTGTCCCTAGGTAGGTTTTATCCTGAGGCCCCTTCTCTTGGCTTGTAGGCAGTTCTATTTCACTGTGTGCTCACGTGACCTCTTCTTTGTGCTCAACACACACACACACACACACACATACACACACACACACACACACACACACACACCTGGTGTCTCTTCTTATGAACATAAATACATGAATCCATTCGGATTAGAGCCCTGTCCTTATGACTTCATTTAACTTTAATGACCTCCACAAAGGCTCTATCTCCAGACACTATCACATTGAGAGTTGAGGCTTCAATACATGATTGAACAAATGTTCAATCCATAACAGGGAGGGAGTGGATCTACTTTCTTCAGAGTGATGAGGGAGGCCGCTCTGAGGAGGGCAGCATGCAGGCTGAAATCTGAAGGACAAGAGTAGGGTTGGGGTTAGGATTAGGGTTAGGGTTCGGGTTTTCCTGAGCCAGCATTTGGAGGATCTGATTTCTTTAATATGGTAGTAACAAACATTTCTTTCATGCTAATGACATAATGTAAGCATCTCCTTCATGTTTAAGCGTTCATGTTTACTGAACTTGCAGTAAAGAAAAGACACTTAGATGCAGCCATACCTTAGATGTGTTACAAGTTTGCTTCTAGACCACCGCAATAGAGTGAATATTTCAATAAAGCAAGGCACACAAATTCTGTGGTTTCCCAGTACATATACAAATTATCTTTACATTATGATTATAGTCAATATATTAAGTGTGCAATAGCATGACGTCTCAAAAATAGTGTGTATACCTTAACTTAAAAACACTTTATTGCTTAAAAAATGGTAATGATCATCTGAGCCCTCAGCAAGTCATAATCTGTTTGCTGGTGGAAGGTCTTGCCTTGATGTTGATGGCTGCTGATTGATCAGGATGGTGGCTGCTGAAGATTGGGGTGGCTGTGGCAATTTTTAAAAATCAGACAGTGATAAAATTTGTTGCAGTGATTGACTCTTCTTTTCATGAAAGATTTCTCTGTAGCATGCAATGCTATTTGATAGCATTTGACCCACGTAAACTTCTTTCAAAGAGTTGGATCCAACCCTTTCAAACCCTGCTGCTGCTTTATCAACTAAGTTTATATAATATTCTAAATCCTTTGTTGTCATTTCAACATTGTTTATAGCATCTTCACCAGGAGCAGATTCCATGTCAAGAACCCACTTTCTTTGCTCATCCGTAAGAAGCAACTCCTCATCCATTCAAGTTTTATCATGAGATTTCAGCAGGTCAGTCCCATTTTCAGGCTCCACTTCTAATTCTAGTTCTCTTGGTATTTCTACCATGTCTGCAGTCATTTATTCCACAGAAGTCTTGAACCCCTCAAAGCCAACTATGAGGGTTGGAATCAATTTCTTCCAAATTCCTGTTAATGTTGATATTTCGACCTCCTCCCATGAGTCACAAATGTTCTTAACAGCATCTAGAATGATGGATATCTTCCAGAAGATTTTCAATTTACTTTGCTTAGATCTATCAACACTGTCTGTGACAGCTATTGCCTTACAAAATATATTGCTTAAATAATAAGACTTGAAAGTCAAACTTATTGCTTGATCCATCGGTTACAGAATGGATGTTGTGTTAGCAGGCATGGAAACATTCATTTCCTTATACATTTCCATCAGAGCTCTAGATGCACTGTCAATGAACAGTACTATTTTGAAAGGTATCTTTTTTCTGAGCAGTGGGTCTCAACAGTGGGCTTAAAATATTCAGTAAACCATGCTCTAAATAAATTTACTGTCATTCAGACTTTTTGTTCTGTTTATAGAGCACAGGCAGAGTAGATTTAGCATAATTCTTCAGGGCTCTAGGATTTTTGGAATAGTAAATGATCATTGGCTTCAACTTAAAGTCATCAGCTGCATTAGCCCCTAACAAGAAAGTCAACCTTCCTTGAAGCTTGAAGCCAGGCATTAATGCCTCTTCTTTAGCTATGAAGGCCCTAGATGGCATCTTCTTCCAATATAAGGCTGCCTCACCCACATTGAAAATCTGTAGTTTAGTGTAGCCACTTTCATCAGTGATCTTAGCTAGATCTTCTGGATAACTTGCTGCAACTTCTGCATCAGCACTTGCTGCTTCAGCTTGCACTTTTCTGTTATGGGGACAGTTTCTTTCCTTAAATCTCATGAACCAACCTCTGCTAGCTTTCAGCTTTTCTTCTGCATCTTCCTCACCTCTCTCAGCCTTCAGAGAATTGAAGAGAGCTAGGGCCTTGCTCTGGATTAGGCTTTGGTTTGAGGGAACGTCGCGGCTGGTTTGATCTTCTATCCAGACCACCACAACTTTCTCCACATCAGCAATAAGACTGCTTCACTTTATCATTCGTGTGTTCACTGGAGTAACACTTTTAATTTCCTTCAAGAACTTTTTCTTTGTCCCATGACCTGGTTAACTGTGACAAGAGGCACAGCCTTCAGCCTCTCTCAGCTTTCAACATGGCTTACTCACTCACTTACTCACAAATG